TGCTCCTAACACCTTCTCCAACCTTTTCTTAAGTCCCTGCAAGATTGTCTGATTGGTGACCCGATCTAGCCATTTCTTTTTGATGTGCAACAGATGCAAAACGTTGTTCTATTTCTATATCCTCACACCGAACACTAGTTTTTCCTCCTTGGAATTGTGCTCCGTTGTCTAAAATTAGAATTTTCAGAATTTTAGCCAACAACAAATATCGTTAATCAGATAGTGAGCCATCTTTTCCTCTGGGATGTGAGCTAAGGATTTCGATTCCACTCACTTAGTGAAGTGGTCTACTGCAACAGTCAAGAACTTTCGATGTCCAGACCCAAAATGTAGTGGTCCTACTAGGGCTAACCCCTGTTGTGCAAAAGGTAATGGGGAATTCATTGTGGTCATTCCTTTGATAGGCAGATGTGTGATTTGTCTTTATTGTTGGCATCTTTTTGCACTGCTGCACCAAATTGGTAGCCTTAGCTCGCATCCCTGGCCAATAAAACCCAACTTCCAACGCCTTTGTTGCGATAGCTCATACTCATACATGTGATCCACAACATCCCTCATGAACTTTCTTTTAACACATAATCACCATTTTCTTATAATACACACCTTAAGTGTTCTCCAACATATGATCATTTCTATAGAACTTCTTCCAACTCAAGATACTCTGATAGTTATCTTGTTGCACACTCAGCTTGGTATTTTATTTCCTGATGGTATGCATCCTTGCAGTAATTCCCTAATCGGTGTTCTAATCCTCCTTTTCCTCAAAGTCTTTTACCTCTCGTAAAATGCTCCTTCCCTGATGAAGTGCTATAAAAACCTTTCCAACCCCTCCTTCAATCGAGCTAGCTAATCAGCTCACCCGTTCGCTTCATTGGTATCTGAATCCTTTCAAACTTGATGAAGTTTTGAATAAGGCCCTGTATTTCCTCAACATACCTGATCATACGCTTCTATTTTACCTCACAATTTTCCAAAACCTACCCAACAACCAACTGGGAGTCAAAATTGGCCACTAACTCGCTAGCCCCTCCATCACTTTGAAGGATTTACATGTTTGATGAAGTCTATGATGACTGAGTAAACATTTGTTTTACATTTCATCAAGAAAATCCAAACATATCTTGATTTGGTCAACAAAACTGATGTAATACTTGTAAGTTGTAACCATTTCTAGATATAATAAGGAAAAGCCCCCAAAGATCAGTATAAATAAGACCTAACCATTCTTAATGATCATTGGTAGATCATAAAGGTAAAACATGACTTTTTCTTTTCTTACAAGGTTCACTAACTAAGTTCATCTCATCATCAATGAAACTGAAAGTACAATGCTACAGAATTCTCTTAACAACTTCAAAAGATGGATGTCCTAATCTTGAGTGCTAAACTGAGAAACTAATCCTATATTTAGCTTCAACTACATTCACAACATAAAATGGTCATTTATTGAGAGCAGGAAATTTGATGAAAGGTTGGTTCTCATCTCCACAATTTCTAAAAAGACTATATGTGTGTAGGCCATTCTGAGCTCTCATTCAAGTAATGTTTCCTTTGATTGAAGATCCTTCAAAAGACAAAATTCTGGGTGAAATTCAAAATAAAAATTGTTGTCTCTAGCAAACTCGGATGCACCTATCAGATTTTTGGTAATGATTTGTAACATGCAGAATGTTCTTTAAAGAAAAGTTATGAGTGTTATGATTTGATTGTGAACTGACTGAAAAATTACCAAAATGAGAAATGTACAAAACGTTCTCCATTCCCAATTTGAAATTTCTCATTTCTTTGAAACTCAAATGCTATGTTGAGGTTTCCAAGACAATATGTGACATGATTGGTTATCCCAAAATCTAGAAACCAACATGAATCTTGAGAGGAATCTGCAACACTACTGCTGCTTGAAAACTGATTGTTTGTATGCTGCTGCAGTTGAGTCACGTTGGCTTGTCCTCCTGAGTTCTATAAAAGCATTTATCTGCAGTGTGATTTGTCTTATGACAAATTTGGCAATCATTTTTCTAAGAGGATCTTCCTCTTCCATAAGGTCATCTACCTCTGTTGCCTCTATTTCTAGAAGTCTGGTTTTTTGTCCTCTTCCTCTAATGGCTTAGTTAGAAAGAGCTCTCTTATTCTGAGTGATTGTATTGGCACAAGGTGAATGTACCTCAATAACAAATGATCCAACTTCAATGCTTCAAGCCTACTTTCTAAACTAAGGAGAAAAGAATGTATCTCTCTTGGGGAATAAGTTTTTATCCCTAAATTGATGGAGTCAATGACAAAGTTGTAATCACTCCCTAAACCTATTAGTATGTAGGACATGTGATCCTCTTCACTTATCTTCTGTCCAACTGCGCCCATCATATCACAACAACATTTAATCGCGTTAAGGAACTCTCTCATAGGTAGGTCTCTTTTCTTAAAGGTTTTTAGTTGCAACCTATATTGCATGGTCTCTGTTCGAGATTGAGTAGCAAAGCTGCTCTCAAGTGTTTCCCAGACTTCTAGAGAGACAAATTACTGCCAAAACTTGTTGCCTTCAAACAAGATAGTTATCTTCAAAGGGTTTCATAGTAATGAGATTTTCTTAAGGTTGTATTATAGACGAGGGCCCCATATCTCCCGGTGTTATAATATTTTTCATGGAAAGAAAAAGAAAAAGGTTATAGGCACAATTTCAGGTATTAACCTGAGGCTCTGATGCAATGAAGAATAATCAACATGAATTTCAGTGAAGATTTCACTTGAACATCCAGATCTTGATGTGGTTTAAATAATAATTCAGATGGCAAATGCAGTACAAAATGTGGCTACATTCCTACTGCATATATATGTGTATGTGTATGTGTGTGTGTGTTGTGAACATCACAATGACCTCAACCACTAGCTTAAGATTAGATTGGTATCTTTACAACATATTCTTAAATTCAAGGAATGAATGAGACAAAACTAGGAGCCAACTAAAACTGCCCATTGTCTTCTTGTTTTATTGTGGCGGTGAATGTGCATGTCTTAGCATGCTAGTCTGTATGGCTGCTAAGGAAGCATATGAGCTGACATGAGTTGATAATTTGTTCGAGAGATTTTTGTGGGTATTTGGTAACCGAGTTACCCGACCTCGGGTCGATCTCAAGGAAGGCCGTTCGGAGCTTTGTTTTTTATTTAATTATCGAAATATAAAAATGAGAAAATAAACCTAAACATTCTACTCCATTTTGATGTGGTTTTATATTTAACTAAGATTCTTAATTTAATTTAACAAACATAAAATGAAAAGAACAGTAAATAAACAACAGTAAAATAATAAAAATGGTAAATGGGTAAAAAGAATAAAGATGAGGAAAGTGTTAAGAAATCGGGAAATAATTGTATCAATTTTAATGATAACTTCGAATTGTTAATCATTCGGTTAAATGATTCGATAAACACACTAATTTAGAGGTTCATATTCCACTCAGTTATGAGTAAGAATATAAACATAAATCAATATATTCGTGTACCACTTAACATATAAGCAATACAGTTACGTGTAAACTTATTTATTTCGAGCGGTGATAAATAAACTTCGCCATTTTCGGGTTAAGAGTCGATTAAGTAGATTTAAAAGAATGTTTAGTTCTACTTAAATCATAAAACTAAATATAACTCGAAATAATAGGACCAATCAACAATTCGTCATCATCATCGAACCGACACAATCATTTCCCTATCCCTATCGAAGGGTTTAGTTCGTCATGATTTTATTGACACAAATAATAAGAATAATCCAAGCTATCGTTTTACTCATAAAAACTTTCGAACGATAACTTACGATTACGATTAAAACTTGACGTCAATATATCACTTAGAACTTTTAGGGAAATGAAAATAAACAACTTACAAGATTAAAACCAAGCTTGCATGCAAAGATCAAACTTGAAGAATATCAAGAACACTAAGAACACTCTTGGAAATATTTTACATAGAAAAGAGAAGAAAAGTGAAGTTGTGAAATAACTGAAAGAGAAGAGAGTATTTATAGGACAAAAATAGAAAACTTGTAATATAAGAAAAGAAAAATGTGGAAAAAGGTGATAGGAAAAATGGGAAAGAAGATGGGAAAAATAGGAAAGAAAAAATGTAAGAAAAGGTGAAAGAAGATAGGAAATTTGAGAGAAAAGTTGGAATTTTCGGATAAAAACCAAAAGTGATTTTTCCGCGCGCATTCGCGCACGTCTCGGGCAGCTTTTGCTTCTCGGGCTCGTTTTGGGCTCGTCCGAACTCGGAATTGAGTTCTGTTTTTTTCTACGCGTCGCTAACGAACCCCTCTATTCAATGATTTATGCCAATACAAATTTCACCCAGAATAAAATTATCTAAGGATTTTTAACTTCCAAGGTGTCGGCAACTCGCTCGATTTTACGCTTCGGTCCCGTACGAACTCATCCGAACTCGAAATTGAGTTCGGCTTTTTCCTGTGTGTAGCTAACGAGCTCCTCTTTCCATTAATGTGATCATGCCCAATAACTTTCCAAAATCTTGCTCTTCCGAGATTTTCGACCGTTTCTTTATCTTACAAATACTCGAAAAATAAAAAAAATATACAAAAATCCACACAAATACTTAAATATTACAAATCACTAAAAAAAATAAAAACTACCCAAAATTTCACAAAATTACTAAAAATACATAAAAATAATAATAAAAAACATTAATAAAAACATAACAAAAATAACACTAACATAATTCATCAAGAACTCAACGAAAGATAAAATTAGTAAAAAAATATTAAATAAATTGTTAAATACCATCTATAAGGTTTATAGGAAATAAATATCCAATAGCATTTTTGTTTCTGAGCGATTTTAATTTCACCTAAATTGTTGTCCTTATTCATCATCACCAATAACATATACATAATTATGTTTTCAAAATTTACGCTTATAATTTTTCTTAATAGGGCATTATCTAAACTAAGAATATAACTGTGATCATTAACACGTATGTGGATGCTTTTGTAGGAGATAATCCCGATATTTTAAGTAGGATTTTGAATCCATCTGCTCTTAATGATGAAAGCATCGTGTTCCGAGAACTCCGTGATGCAATATCTTTTTCGCAAAACCCAGCAGTTGCTAGTTGGGTTGGGGAAGGTGGAGGAGTTTGGAATAGTGGTCGAGATAAAGTTACAAATACATTCGTCTTTGGATTTTGGTAATATGCATGTTTTTGGTTAATGTAAAGCACATTTACTTATTTTTCTCTGTTGTATCTACCTCACATTTGATCATGATCAAATTTAATACTCTAAATTACAATGAACGAGGAGTAATAAATGTGATAGATGGACAAAAATAGGACATCAAATTGGTTAAATTGAAATCAGGATTACTCAAAGCAAGAAAGATGATTGTGGGGTACAAAAATTGAATCGTCTTCCTTGAAAACAAATCTTCTCCTGTTGTCTAGTATATGTACTCGTGTTTGCATATTTGTCTTAATATTCTCCTTTTTTCTTGTTTTGGTATTTATATATAGGTACTTGGATCAGCTAGGGAAAGCATCGATTTACGGCACAAGGACATACTGCAGGCAATCATTAATTGGTGGTAACTATGGTTTACTCAACACTAACACATTTGTTCCGAATCCAGATTACTACAGGTGAAATCAAATTTGACATTTTTCACGTCATTTTAAATTTGTTTTCCCATCAATAAGTTTTGCTGCTAAATTTGATAATGATTTGACGCACTTTTCTTGTTTCTCCTGATTTATAATACACCCGATCTTATGTTTTCTTTTTTTCGTCATAACCGCTCTTATTTCGTTATCTTGCAGTGCACTTCTTTGGCACAGGTTAATGGGACACCGAGTTTTGTTGGCCAATTATGAAGGGACTAAAATGATCCGTGCTTATGCTCATTGCGCTAAGAAATCTGTAAGAAGTCTCAAACCTTTTATTATTTTTGAAAGTCTTACATATAGTATCAATAAATAGAGCATCTTCAATAATGCATTTTGAAATATATGCTGTGGGAAAAGTAAAATATGAGATTAAATTTGCTATGGGTTTGTGGATTATGGATTACTACATTTAGTGGTTGGAAAAGGGTGTGGAAATATTCATTTCCGATAACGATTTTGGCCATGTAATACTAGAATTGGAAAACTAACATGGTCCTTTGGAGAGATTGGAATTTAAGTAATTTCAACAATTGAAAATATGAATATCGCAAGGGAGAAATTGAATGAAGCTTTATTGCTAGAATTGGTAATTGGACACATGCTTTATTTTCCCTTGTCCCCTTACATCTTTCACTCATGCACGCACATATAGAGAGCTTAAGGCGGACACTATTGTCTAGTAATTTCCTAGCTGCCTTTGACTAAATTAATTTACACATGAAATTTTCTAAAAAAGCTTATTGGCTTAGCAAAATTTACGACCTCTTCAAATAATGTGGATAGTTCTAGAAACTACTGGTTGTTGACATTTGACTTGGTGTTTCTTTTTTATTTATTTATTTTTTTAAATCAGGACGGTTAAGGTTGCATCCCCGACATGTACATAGTGAAGACACTAAATGGCCCAAAAAATCATAGGTATTCACAAGTTCAACGAAGAAACAAAAGCCAAAAACTAGAATTTAAATAAAAGGTAGCCCATCTGGTCCATCTCCACAAGGGTAAGAAGGCGGAGAGTGTAGTCATCCAGGTGGAAGGTGCACCTCAGTATGATGGAGGCACCTAGAATGGTCTGGTAATTATGAGATCGGTTTCTCTTGCGGTACATGTGATAGATTCGTTAGCGAACCAACTAAAGTATGGATGTGGTACGCATGAATGGGTATTGAATTTGCCACGAGACCTTGTGGTCTGAGGTCAAAAGAGGGTAGTGACAGAGGCAACATTCAACTCTAACTAAATGTGAGAAGAGATAGAGATTGCAATATGAAGACCGATCTGAATCGCATGAACCTCCGCGTCGTAGCTCAAGGAGGCCTGGAGAGGGGCGTGGAAGGTGTTAATGAGAGCTCCGTTGTGATCCATAATCAGGCCCTCGCCTCTGGCGACTCCGGTAAGTTAGTCGAATAATCCGTCAGTGTTGAGTTTAACCCAAGTGGAGCCGACTCTTAACCAAATAACGACTCTGATGCGTGAGTTCTATTGGCGGATTAAAAAGGGGAAAAAGTCTCTTTCTGGAAATCTCCGATCTCGGCACAACAGTAACACCGCGAAAGGAAGTAAAACCCTCTTGTGTGCATCTCAGTGTCGATTGATATTCGGTACAAAAGAAGGCGCCAAAGGAAGACAGAGATTATCGGAGTAAGCAGGTCGGTCCAAATGACCCCAAAGAGAAGGTTAGGCCAGTCACCTAACCGAACTTCTCCCCAAGCCAAGGTCGTACAAAACGCACCCGAATATGTAAGTCTTCACCTTATACCATCTGAACCGTCCTCCGAGAAGGGAATCTATTGGATATGTTCTAAAGCTTGTTCACTAAAGTCTGCTCCAGTACCCATCACCCTCTCTAACCTATCCTTATTCCATGCCCTATCAGTCCATAGGTCCTTCACCCGCAGGGAAAGAGAGTGAGTGACCTGTCTAGTGCTAAAAAACGGACCCTCACTAAACAACCACTCCTCCCAAAACCTAAAACTGTAACTTCCGCTTATTTTTCCTTTAGAGAACTCAAAATTTTCCGAAAAGTTTGAACTTGTAAAAACTTTTTTCCTTTAAAACTCTCATTTGGGCATTACTCAAAATCCTTTCTTTTCTTTTATTAACTTAAGTCGTCCCTTAAGTTCTTAGTGGATTCATTTTCTCAAAATTTCATCTCAACTTCCAATAACTCGAGACACTATAAAACATTCAATCATGAGTCCCGAAACATTCATAAGTTAAAACATCATAAATTTGAAAATGTTGCGAAAGCGAATAAAACCAATATAATAGATGTGACCACACTCGTCTCCTCGTATCCACAACCAGCTAATAGACCTGAAAAAGGATAATGTATATGGGTGAGCAAACAACAAGCTCACTGTGAGAAACTATGCAATTACCAGTATAATAAGAGATATTATAATCTCAAAATGTATATAAATCATAACCATCACCATTTATCTCTATCCATATAGTCATCTCATGTCCACACACTTTTACCATCGATTCTCTGTCTTATAGGCGCTCAACGACATGAGCTTAGCTGAATAACTTTCATTCGGCACTACCATTCATTAGGCATCGCCTTTCATTTAGCAAATGGAGATTTACGCCTTCATTAGGCATTGCCTTGATTAGGCAAACTGGGATTTCATTAACTCCCTTTCACATACATACACCAATCATAAAACTATGAAATTATAAAGGATAAAGGCATCATAGTGTAGCAACACCAACCTCAGTTCGGATGATGCAGAAAATATAGATGCTTCACACAGTCACTGTAGCGCTTGACTCTTCGAAATCTACATTTTAAGGCAAGAATATTCTAATAAATAACTTGACCCACTTCTCTAAAAATTTAACAAGTTTAACTTAATCAATATCTTTATTGACTAAGTACATTCTTATAATTAGTGGAATTCAGAACTCTCGATTCATGGTGTTAGTCCCATTTTTGTTGCATTTTTCTTTGTCATTTTGCCTTTGTTTTTCTCCCATTTTAGGTTGTTTCTTTAGTTTTTAGTTGTTTTTTGTAGTTTATTGCGTGTTTCCTTTCATTTTGAGTGTTTTCGCGTTTTTTTCGTTCGTTTTTTTGGTTTTCTCCGTTTTTCTTCTCGTTTTTTGTGTACAGGTCGAAAGCTTTGGGAGGATAGGATCTCAAAAGAAAGTTGGCTTTGCAAGCATAATTAACTAGAAAGTTTTGTTGGTGACGCGTAAGAAAAAATAGCACTCAATTTTGAGCTCGGACGACCTCAAACGAACCCGAAACCTGAAGTCGCACAGCCCAGACCCTAGCGGCGCTAGGTACCCTTAGCAGCGGTAAGGGTGGCATAGCTAGCGGCACTGGACATGCTAGCATGCAGCAAAGATTTTCAACCTTTGTACCTTAGCGCCGCTAACCCCCCCTTAGCACCACTAGGGCCTGCTGCGGGCAAATTTCGTTCTTTTTTGCTTTTTTCTCGTTTTTGCTCAGTTTTTTAAACTACAACTAGCGCACTTAGAAGCTAAAATAAGGAGAAACGAACTACAACTAACAAACTTAGAAGCTAAAGTTGAACGATTACTTATAAAATCATGGAACTCTAAAATAAAATTTTGATTTTTCTCTTAAAAGTTTGGAACTTTAAAATAACCAAATAACTAGAAAAGCAAAATAAAAGACAAGCTAGCAATTTAAACTAAAATTGACCCTAACACATACATTTTGAATGAGACGCTAATTTTACCTCTAAAACCAAGTAAGTAAAAATAGCATAAAAATCGAGATAGCAAGTCCTATCTAGGTACTTACTTCCCTAATTCATGCTCGGTAGAAATAAATGCAAAAAGGTTAGAACTTTCATAACCAAAGCATCCCCGGAATTGTCTCTTGAAAATATGAGTTAGAACCTCCACAAGTAATGTTTAGAGAGAAAATAAAGAAAAGAACAATTTCCAAAAGTGCGAAACAAAACCAAATAATGTCTAAATGTCTAAATGCAAAGGAAAAAAGAGTAATTATACTCACACCTCCCACTCACTAGGAAAACACACAATTGCTAAAACACACTCTCCAGCTAAGGCTTCTTGCGAAAAATTCTCTAGGCAAATGTGGACAATGTTCG